AAAAAACAAAACCATATTTAGAAATGAGAAAATGATAACAAATATAAATGTAAAACAAAAAGAGATTATTATATATTATTTTAATTCAAGCCAGATTAAACGAATCCACAACTATGTTTTTCAAACAACAAAAATAACTCGTGTTTATTTTATTTTCTTCTAAAACTTTGAAAGCAAAAAAGGAATACGGTCACCTTTGGCTCATACAGCTGTCATCGCCCAGCAGGGCGATAGAAATAAATCTATCGCCATGAAACCCAGCGAACGAACTTCGCATTTCGCTTTGGCTGTGTTCAATTTCATAGGCTTGCGGGTGTTCTAATTTTGGCCCGCGCGAATTTCGCTGTGGTCAGTTCGGTGGCGTTAGTTGTTTTCGTATTCTCCAGCAAAAAATATCCAGTAACTTGCCAGGAAGCAAATTTCGGAGAGTAAGCCAATATTTACTCCCAATGAGAGAAATATGCAAGCACGAAAACGCAAAACCAGCAAGAAGTTGCATGATTTATGAACAGCTAATTAATTTGTTATTTTCCGACGCAATTTTCGAAGAAGAAGGGTATTTCCCATCTTAATGTATATTTAATAGGTTTATTTTGTCAATTGCAACCCTAAAATCACTACAAACAACTCTTTTGGTAATGTGAAATGCATTGAGCATGCTATCATCTGTTTTTCTTACTAACAAATAGGTACTATTAAAAATTTTCTCTCTCAATTCTTTCTCTTTCGCTGGTTTCTTGCATGTTTTTGCGTACGAAAACGACATCCAGTAAAACCCAGTAAATTTAGTACCGGATTTTACTGGACAGTGCGTACGCGAACAGGGCTATTGTATTTCAGCTATAACTAGGTTCTTTCCCGTGCACAACGTGGGATCCCCCGGGTGCCCAAAATAGCCCAGAATGGTAATTATCTAGGTGAGCTTTCAACCCCCAAAATTGGTCAAAATTTTGGAAAGGGGGTACCATTAGAATCGTCTGGACCCCAATAACAAGAATCCGAAAGCGGAAATTAACTTTTTTTACCCGATCAAAAGTTATTAACCTACGCAGAAAGGTGTTCTCTGCAAAAGGTGTTCAGCGCCTTTTCTTCGCAACACAGAAAGAGAATTCTACTCTGTGAGGGTTATAATCCCTAACTGCGGCCGAAGGCCGCCTATTTAGAAAGAAGTTCTGCGCAGAAATACTTCGGCTTCTTTTTATGGCAATACAGAAAGGAGAAGGAAGTGAGGGTTAAAATCCGTAATTATCTAGGTGGGCTTTCAACCCCCAATATTGGTCAAACTTTTGGAGAGGGGGTACCATTAGACGCGTCTGATCCCCAATAATAAGAATCCGAAAGCGGAAATTAACTTTTTTTACCCGATCAAAAGTTATTAACAAAAAATTTTGGGGGTTGAAAGCCCAACTAGATAATTACCCCCAGAATTCATTCCCGTACTCAACAAAATGGGTAATAGAGGTCGAAAGTTGGTACGTATTGGATCGTAAGTGTCCTCTTCTCGAAACAGCTCGGACTCTGGGTTGACTTCGCGACTTTGAACAAAACGACTTTATGGTGGGTGTAGAGGGGGTGGTACACATCACGAAACTGAAAACCGGACGGCGAGGAAACTCATAGTTTACGAGTAATTTGTTGTTAAAGTTGAAAATTTCACCTAACAAAATGTACGATAACAAACCATTTCAAACAAATACAAGTGTGCAGGAAACACACATTCCAACTAAATTAAGCTCTTTGAACGTTTTTCTATTTCATATTTTATTAATTTCATTATTTAACGAAGAGGAACACGTTTATAAATTTGTTTACTTTTCTTTAGAGAACCCAACCAGTATGAAAGTGCAAGTATGGACAATTACCGAAACGAAGATGGCCGCATGTGTGATTAAGTGTTGCCAGAATACGTTTCAAAATGTGTTGCCGGAGGTTCAAGCGTAAGAATATTATAAAGGCGAATATGATAAGTTCTATTTTATTATGAGTTCTATGAGAGAAGTTCTGCTCAAAAATACTTCTTCTCATTTTCTTCGCAACGCAGGAAGAGAATTCTACTTTGTGAGGGTTATAATCCCTAAGCGCGGCCGTAGGCCGCCTACGCAGAAAGAATTTCTGCTCAAAAATACTTCTGCTTATTTTCTTCCCCACACGGAAAGAGAATTCTACATTGTTAGGGTTATACTCCTTAAGCGCGGCCGCAGGCCGCCTACGCAGAGAGAAGTTCTGCTCAAAAATACTTCTGCTCATTTTCTTCGCAACACAGAAAGAGAATTCTACTTTGTGAGGGTTATAATCCCTAAGCGCGGCCGAAGGCCGCCTACGCAGAAAGAGTTTTGCGTCATAAATACTACGATGTCAGAAGGTGTTTTATACACTTGACAAGGCAACACAAAAAGGAGAATTCTGCGTAGTGAGGGTTATAATCCCTAAGCGCGGCCGAAGCCCGCCTACGCTAAAAGAGTTTTGTGTCAAAGCTACTGACATCGTAGAATTCTGCGTACATAATATTCATAATTGCTATTGAACACATAATACTCATAATTGCTATTAAACTCATAATACAATAGCACTTATCACATTCGCCTTTATAATATTCTTACGGTTAGAACATCTGGCAACACATTTTGAAATGTATTCTGGCAACACTTAATCACACATGCGGCCATCTTCTTAAAGGCCTGCTCAAACAGGTGCGGTGCGGTACAGTGCGGTATAATCCCGTACGATATGCGGTATCAAATACCATGGCGGTATATGGGAACACTCAAACAGACGCGGTATTGGAAGTGCGGTGCACCGCGGTACAGAACTCTACCGCAGCATGCACAGTTGACCGCGCGGTATAAGCAGATATATCGTAAGCAGAGTTGCAATTTAGAGCTAGAGTTCTACCACATATTTTACCTACAAAAGTGTTACAGATTATAAATTCTACCTTTTTTATTAAAAAAAAGTGAGTATTAAAAGTGCTCGTAATACATTTATTGGCATATACTACGTTTATACGTAAGCTTTTTGCAAATAAAAATAGTTGGCAAATACCTAACTCACTGTTTATTCGATGGTGAAAAATTCTTTTTTAATATTGCCTGATTATAAAAAGGCAATAATATGACCATAGAAAAAGAAAATAAAGTTAAAAATGGCAACGTCTTGATTATAAAAAGGCAATAAGATGGCCATCGAAGAAGAAAATAAACCTAAGAATGGCGGCGTCTTGCGCTTATTTGCAAATAGTACCACTAATCAATACTTATTTGCGTGATTTAGTTATTTGCAAATAAAAAATTAACTCAGCGTTTATACGGCAAATTTTACCATTTTGCAAATTGTTATTTGCAAATATTACGTGCGTATAAACGTAGTAATAAATGTGATATTCTTTGGTTTTGTTTCTCACAAAGGAAATAAAATAAAGTTGAACTTTTTCGTTTGTTCAAAAATATTTTTCAAATCTAGCAATGTTGCTCAGAAATATGAACGGGAATTTTAGTGGAGTTTATTCTTTCTCAAAACGTACAAAATGGAGCGTAAATATGGAAATATTTAAGAAATCTCTCTTCGTGGTCACGCAGTTGGGGCATCAGGCTGGAAAATTCACCATCTTCTTTTCTTCTCAAATTTATTTCGTGTATTCTTTTTCTTAAACATATACATAAATTAAGAACTTTGTAGGATAAAACAAAGATATAGGCATATTCATACCTTCTGTTTTCTTCATCGAGAAGTGCTGCTAAAAGCGTGCCGTTAATTTGAGCTCGTCATCTGGCAACAATGTTCTTGCTATACCGCGCTGTACCGCACCACGCCTGTTTGAGCAGGCCTTAATTGTCCATACTTGCACTTTCATACTGGTTGGGTTCTCTAAAGAAAAGTAAACAAATTTATAAACGTGTTCCTCATCGTTAAATAATGAAATTAATAAAATATGAAATAGATAAACGTTCAAAGAGCTTAATTTAGTTGGAATGTGTGTTTTCTGCACACTTGTATTTGTTTGGGGTACTCCTTATGAATTTGTACAACGATTTTTGGTTGCTGTGCCCAAACGCGTGAATCGAATGAAAAAACTTTTACACACACTTGTAGACAACAGTTCACGCTTTATTACAAAAATTTAATTTACTAAATCTGTGCACTAATTTAACAATAATGTCGGTTGGAAATATCGTATTTGTTGCAAATTTTTGTTATAAATTTGTATATACATTTTTATATACAAGATATTTTTATAAAACACCCGTAACCAAAATAGACATCACTGGGGCGGCAGCCCCAGGTTTACCACACAGAAAGGGAATTCTAGTTACCTCATCCTTTCCCAAGGTTATGTCACACAGAAAGGAGAATTCTACGTACTAAGGGTGTTGAAAAATACATTGTACCAAACAAAGTCGATACATTGGACAACACTGGTTTGTGAACGCACTCACTCACTGAACGTCCCTTTTCTTTTGTAAACTTCATTTTTATTAGCATACTGTTTTCTTATAGGGCTTTCGCACGAGGCGATTTTACAGGCAACTTTTGCGTTCAACTCACGCAGGGTTGCACGAAAAAAAAACATTTGCATTAATCTTAAGACCGTCCTCACTTTCAAACATTTTATATATTTTAAATAAATTAAGAGTATTCATCTTTTTAAAAAATATTCAAAACACGTTTTTTATCTCCGCCGGAACACAAACAAATGAAAAATAGCTGTAAGTATATACATATATGTACATATAAAACGGCATAAATTTTCCCGCTTCCAACAAAAACAGTACCCTTTCCAAAAAAGTCCGTTAACTCGCCTTGTTTAATTAACTAAAATATGCATTTGCAAATACATGCATTTATATTTTTTATTATCGCTGAATTCTGAAAACTCAAAAGCAAATCATAATATAATAAGTATATCAAATGAAAGGTAAGAACTTGCACTTTTTCAATAATATAAATTTTTTTAGCATTGATTATGGACTTTTTCTAAAAAAGGGTTACTTTATGAAAAAATTATGAAATTTTTTTGGTTTTATAATATTTTTGGCTTAAATATATAAAAAAGCATACACATTTTATATATCAGCTTGAAGATAAATTAATTGTCTTTATTTTGACATCATTGGTTTTTAAATCGGTTACGTAGTTTAGAAAATATTAATGTTTTAAAATATCACAATTTTTTTGTTTTACCTCTTATATCTGCTTTGCTTTTTAATTGCGGCAAATAATATTTATATAGTTAAAATCAGCGTAAAAAGTACTAGCAATCTGCATTTTTAGTTTTTCTATAGCTGAACGGTTGGTTATCTTGATGTATGCCCAAGAGTTTACGGGATGTACATAGCTCAGTGGTTAACGCTTCTGACTTTGAACATCGAATTCGCAGGTTCGATCCCTGCTGAAGTTTAGAAAAAAGAAGTCTGATGAGGAGATGTGGTGATCTCCGAAATAGTGCTATAACTTCTACCGCTTAGACTTTGTTACTTTTTCAATTTTTCCTAATAAACAATCGTGGTACAAAGCTCAATAAAAATATTAAAAATAAAAATGTTAACAAGCCACAATAACATTGACAAAATACATAGTTTAGGAAGAGCCTGCCTGAAACTATACAAAAAAGCAAATAAGCAAATGGATGTATAGAATTGACAACAACAACC